TTTCTATTCCACTGCAATATTTTTATACTTTTTCTAATGAACTCGCCAGTTTCAATTATAACTTCGGACCTGCATTGCTGATTTTAATTATTTCGCGCACGGCGTGTTTTTCCTTTTCCGCAAATAATTGCTTTGCAAAATGTTATGGAAATTTAGTTGGCTTTATATGTTGCATGCAATGTTTGTTTTGTACCGTGGACAAACAGCTGTGTTGCAATTATGCTATGGATGCTAAAAGCATTATATATGCACAACTGGAATAGCAATTAATTATAAATTAGCATTCAATGCAAATTTCAAAGTAGATTGGTAAAAATTTTAATGCTGTTTGAATAATCAATTGTTTGTCATTTACGTCGCACGTTTAGTTGAAGATATCAAATTATGGCATTAAAAAACTAATCCTGCTTTTAATTCAGGTCAAGTCAAAAGCGACATAAAATTTATAGAATTATTATATAAGCATTTTTCACGTGAACCGGGCAAAATCTATCCTCTTAAATTCAACAATAAGCTCTTTGTTTCCATTTTATTTCTGGAGAATTAATCTAAAATACACCAGAGCAAGTCGAACCTCTTGACAGATCGGATTAATTAACACAATTTGACACGTTTACACAAACGTCAAACAGGGTGATGTTCAGAGTGTTTTGATTCTAATGTTCAAGCCTCATCAGCACTTTCGCTGATTAACCTGTAAACACTGCAATTACGATGACGTTGACTGGCATTACGTTGTGTGTCGAGCAGGTTGCATACCTATGCATTAGTGCACGGGTTCGCAAATAGCGAGCTGTTTGTAAAAGCTAACATTATATCCTACAAAGATTGAATTATGGGATTCTTTATAAATGTCTTAGCTCTAGATCAATAATTTGTATGCGTCACGAAAATTAAACCTTATTTTTACTTTTTTAAGGTTGAATAAATTAAAAAAAATAACCCAAAAAGTAAGAATGAATGTGGAAATGAAGATTCGGGCTTTTCCTCGTTGCAAAAAATTGTTTTTTATTCAAAAACAAACGGCTCTACCAGTTTCGGTCACGGTCTGCGACCCTATTTCATGAGCAAGAAAAAATACAAAAAATCAGCAAAATTTAAAAAACCACATTTTAACATAAAAATAAAAATCTTAAAACTAACAAATTCAAGTACCAACCTATTTCATGAGCAAAACAATTTTTTGCAACGAGGAAAAGCCCGAATCTTCATTTCCATGATCATCTCCTCGAGTGTCAACTTCTTCAAACAAAGTAAGAATGAATGTTTACATTTTTCTAAAATAAAAAAAAAATTGGTTAAATTTAGTCAGTCTTTTCAAATAAAATATTGATTGTATGATTCTTGCTGATTTTTTTTTTATAAGTTTCTGGTCGTATTAAATAATTTCGAATGGCAAGTTTTGAAAAATTTGTTGAAGATTTTTATTGAAAATTTACATACTCTTTTAATTTAAATTAAGCATAATTATTATCATTTAAGATCCACCCTCCAATCTAATCAACCTAATCAAAGTGCTTGTCTTGAACAATAATCGTCCTACATAGGACGGAATTTAATCAAACCCAGCGATTACGCGCAATAACCTGATTGATATTGTTGTGTACTATATTTCGCCCATGGAGGGTGGTTCAACCCCTTCCAGAGCAGAGGGGCAACGCGATCCGACAGCCGCGGGACATTGATTGATGGAATTTGGGTGCAGCGAGAGAAGAGCAACAAACCGGCAATAAGCGTTTGAGAAAAGAGAGCTGCCTGAAATAAATAAATAAATTGGCGCACGCAGACAGCAGACGAGACCTTCGACTGTCTATATGTGCGTTGGACGATTTATTTCCTCTTGTATCTGTCAGAGGAAAGCAAAGACTTGGTGCACAGAGGGTTGCAGTTTCAATTTGCACCGGCCATATCTCACGGCTGTCTGCTGGGCACAACGGAAAACACTCACGCAACGGAATGTTTGTTTACTGTTTATATTCGGTCCGTTCGTTCTCTCTGTGTTTTTGTTCACCACTCTGCTGAAAAAAAAGAAAGGGAGAAAGGTCGCTCCGCATTGATTGAATTAGCAACAGTTTGCGAGAGAGACATACGGAGAGGGAAGCCCTTTTTGGTCAGAATTTTTTTCCAATATTTTATAAATGTAACTCGAAATATGGCTTTTGAAACACGACAAATTTTAGAATTGAATTATTCATCAGAGATTATTATGCTAAAAAACTATTACAACCATTTTTATTGAAAAAGAAATATGTTTTTTCAAGAGTTGCTTTTGATTAGAGTAACAAAAGAAAGAAAAAAATTAGAGGAAATAAATTTTATGTTAATTATTATCATTATTTATTTAATATAATTAAAAGTTCCTCTCATAAGATATTTTTTTCCACAGTGATACGTTATCGTCTAGGGAAAAGAATAGAAAATTCATTATAAATTCTTTAATCAGACTAAATTTACAGCGTGATTTTTATTTGATTAAAAATTGATCAATTTTTAACAATTCTGTTAGAGGAATTTTTCTGAAAGCAATTTTTTTCTTCCTGACAAAAACGCTTCTGATCAATAAGGGAGACCTCTCTGTTTTTCCACTTCCTTTCTCTCTCTAGAGGGTAAATAAACAGTCTGCTCCCTTTTGCCCCGCAACGATATGATTTGTGTGTGCGTGTGTCCGAAGCAATGCCAATCCAATCACGACCCTTTTAATGTGTCTGCCTTTTTAAGCTCGCACGTGTACCTCCAAATGTGTAAATAATGCTTTAGTCTGAGAGAGAGAGAAAAAGATCTGTTGGCACACAGCCGGCTCCTTTCAAAGCAAATAAGTAGCTTTCCTTTACTTTCTTTCAACCTCTCTTCAATTAGTTCCCCTTGGATAACTGCATCAAAGGATGGGAGTAAAATTCTTTTATAACAAGATCAACACAAAGTTGAATTTAAGTTAATTGAATAATTCTTAATCGACGGGATTTGAGGTAGAGAGGCTAACATTCTTTGTGAAAACTCACAATTGGCGTCATAATGTGGGACAGAGTTAATTAATGATTCGACAAAACTGAATTTCTGGAAACATGGAATTGTTTCACTGGAAAAAATTGGCAAAAAGTCGAAAAACAAAATAAAATTACAATCATGTATATGAAAAAAATTCACGAGCATCCGGACCTCACTTTTTATTATTTTTTATTGAGTTCTAGTTTGATTACAATGAGGTCTAATTTTTGGCAAGACATGTTTGAATACAGGAATCCATTCCGTTAATGAAAATTTCTCTGAAAATATTCCAAAAAAACTTTTCAAACTTATGATGAATGAGCAAAAACGAGAAAATACGTCCTTAGGTGACTTTTCTATCGAATTAGCAGCGCCTGAAAGAGTGAAAGGAGCACCTGGTTTGAAAATCTTTGAATTCCCACCATTTCACTCTAATAAAAAAAGCAGCAGAGCCCAATCACATCTTCTCTAATCATTGATTTGCCTTCCTCCTTCGCTGCTCGCCTTCGATTCCCTTTCAAAAAACAACTCGGCCGGCGAAACGCTAAAAGGATCAAGATTTTTGCCCAAGAAAAGCTGCTTACGCCTGTGATCGCGAGTCTCGCAGGGACACATAGAAAAGCAGGCGGGCTTGCTTTCAAGCCGGCGGGGCCTTTGAGGACAAAACGGCAGAACTACCCTGGCTGTTTCTAAAAGCAGGCGGCGCAGATCTGGTCAAAAGAAAATAAATTGAGCTTTTAAAGTAGCGACTCGATAAAAATTGCATCTCCTTAATCAAGCGGGCCGCACTCTCGGCGCGAGGGAGCGTTTCTCTCTGCCTCAATTTTTCATCGCCAACCTCGCAGCTGGCCAACCCGAAATAAGAGGGTGATGAGAGGAATAAGGCCTGCAAAAACACATTTACGAGGAAAAAGAGAGGGAAAATTCCCAAAAGTTTCTGTTTCACAATTTTGCCAGCTTTTCCTCTTGTGACATTCAAACCGATCTCCGTGAGAAACGTTAATTTATTTATCCACCGCAAATTCAAGAAAAATTATGGAATTATAAAATTTTCCGAATTATAAAATTCGGGAAATTGCTTGATTATTTTACTAAAAAACATTGAATTCTGTGAACATACAATTTATAAAATTTATATTTTTCTAGTTTAAAATACACACATATATACAAAAAAGTTAATTAACATGATTCAGAAACATTTAAATATTACTTTAATTCTGTATTTTATTTCATCAACTTTTTATAAATTTCCCAAGGATTTGCCCGGTTTTTTTTACACTTTTATTATAAATTTAGGGAGCACATTACATTTTCTTTAATCAAACATGTAATTATAATTCTATTGACGATTAACCTTTAACCGATGGAAGTTTTTAAGCTCTAAAGCCCTCGAAAGAAAAATTTTAGCAGCAATAAATAATTTTTAATTATATTTTGTGATGAGATCGGTCGATTAAAGGCTGAACTTATGAGTTCAAAGAGCTTAAAGTTAAATATTTCACTCTCAACCATTGGATGGATTCCAAATTATATTTCGAAATCGAAGCTGAGAAGTGCAGACGAGGTTAATTTTTAAATATATGAGTACTGCGCGTCCATAGATCAACTCCATTTGAATTTGAGTTTATTTGACTCTCTTGAAATAGAATAAATTAGATTAAAATTTTTACTATGTTTTTGTTCTGATAATTTTAAAAAAGGTAAAAAAATATATCTTTTAGGTTAAAATTACGTTTTCTTTAGAAACCTGGCAATTTTGGAAATAAAATAAAAGGTGTAAATTAATAATTATCTAGATTTTTTTTAATTTTCTAAAAATTGGCCACTTCAAGCGAGAAATTAAATTTCTGTTCATTAAATATTACAGTTAAACCTAAAATTTGCAGCTTTTTATTGTTGACATTTTTCTTTTTACTATTTTCACGCTGATTTTTCTTAATTTTCTTTAACTTTTCTTTAGTAAAATGTTCAATTCATATCTTAAGCGACATTTTGAAGCATATTTGGGTGCTTACCTCGCATTTGGGGAACTCTTCGGGGGGCCGTTCGACCTTCCATCCGAGCAGGGGCGGTATGCAGATGAGGGCACTGAGGAGCCACACGAGGCAGATCATGATGGCCGCCCTGAGCGGCGTGCGTTTCTTCAGGTAGTCGATGGCCTGCGTGATGGACCAGTAGCGGTCCAGGCTGATCAGGCAGAGGTTCATGATGGAGGCGGTGCTGAGGAGGACGTCGAGGGCCGAGTGGATGTCGCACCACAACGGGCCGAAGATCCAGTAGCCCATGAGCTCGTTGGCCAGCGAGAAGGGCATGATGACGAGTCCGAGGAAGAAGTCGCTGACGGCGAGCGACGCGATGAACCAGTTCTGGATGTTCTTGAGCGACTTCTCGGTCGCGATCGCGATGATGACGAGCATGTTGCCGACGACGACGACGATCATCAGCACGGTGACCACCACCGACGCCAGGATGATGTGCATCATCGAGTTGCCGCTCGGATAGGGGTTGTCGTCGAACAGCAGCAACGTGTCGTTGCTGCTGCCGTTGAGGGCCGAGCCGTTCAGCGAGCCGTTGAACAGCAGGAAGACGTCGCGATCGTCGTCCGCCAGCCGCAGCAGCAACAACTCGTCCTGCACCACCGACCCGTTCATCTTTCTTAACTCTTCACTTCTTCTTCTTCTTCTACACCATCCAAACACGTAGAACAACACACAGACACGTACGAATATACAATTTTTTCTACAGAGACGCAGCAGCTACTTTTGTTAATTTATATTATGTATGTACCCGTTTTCCTCCGAGGGATTCCTCCAATTTCTGGCAGAGACCGTGAGAACGCTTGGAAATCAACTGCAATAACCGCAACGCAAAGCCTTAACTTTAAAACAGTTCGCTTGAAAGTCAGAGACGCATGTTCTTAAAAGCAGCAGCACTATTTTTCTTCTTCACGAGTAACAATTATTAATTAGTCCACGGCTGACGAGGCCATCGAGGAGTCGCGACTCATCAGTGGAAGAAGGATTGCGTTGGCGCCCATCGAGTGCGAGAACACTTGTTGGCCGCCCGGAGAGCGAGCGAGCAAGTGCCTCTACCGCTGGCCAGGCATCCCTCCGCTGGGCCAAGAGCAACGCCTGCGACTCGACGCTTCCAGTGCAGCGAGCCTACTATGTTTTCCACTAACCCGCCGACACACCGACCGACCGACCGATCCACTCCCGGAGAGGCGCACGCGCCCGCACCCTGCCTCCAGTTGGGCGAGCTTTTTGCACTCGCGATTTCCTCGCGGCCGCGCCGACGACGACTGCCGAGTGCACTGTCGACTTTTGTCATTTGTCCCTATTATGCTTTGCCCTAGAAAAGTATAGTGCTAATTTATCATGTTTCTCCCGCACAAATATGCATGTCACGGAATTTTATTCAATTAAATAGAAAAATTAGGACACGAAACACTTTTAATTTTCTATGAAATTAAATTGTAATTGTTAAATTTTTTAAATTTAAAAACGGAACTATTTAAAATGTAAGTCAAAAATTTAATTTTGTTAATTTTTGTGATATAATTTTATCATAATTAATGATTTTGTAGTTAATAGTAAATTATTTATATTAATATTAAAAATGAAAATTTAAATGATATTTAGTAGAAATTTCTAACAATCCTTTATTTTACAAAAATAATTAATTTAATTTTAAAATAGAAACATAAATATACATATTATATGATACTAATTGAGTGTTTATTGTTAATTCTAACAATTTAAATAACATTGTGTGTGTATTTGTATAAATATTTTAATTAAAATAAATATTAAACTTACATTTGTATTAAATTATTTTGTTATAGTTCTAATAATAAATGAATTATAAATATTTAAGGAATTTCAAATAATCGTTATTAATAAATAATTAAATGTAAGTTTAATTTTATCACGTAAGTGTAATTTGTGTAAAAATTAAATCCAGCCATATTAAAAATTTAAAATGCTGCAAAGGAAGGAATAAATTTAAGTTTCATTTCTCCAGTTTTGACTTGGCGTCTTCGAAATTTGTTCAAATGAAATGGTCCTAGAAGAAATTTAAGGCTGTAATAAAAATTTGTAAGAGTTGATTACAAAAATTAATTTCTGCCTTTTTAAGAGATATTTCAGGCCCAAAAACACACCAATGCTTTGTAATTGCTGTACTAATTGACCACTCCAGTTAAAATTCTTGATTTACAAGTTTTAACAGCTTTTTGAAGGTCTCAATCAGTGTAATAATTGATAAATTTATTCCAATTTTATGAGAAAAGGGTTCCAATTCAAAAATTGAATAGAAAGCTTATTTGAGAATAATCAATTCTATTTAAAAGAAAACTTGAAACTGAGCTTGAAATACCAAATTAAAGTATTCTTCCTCAGAATTCCACGATAATTAAATTTTCCTTTTTTTAAATTGGAACTTTTAAAAAGTGAACATTTTATGCTTCTATACACTTACTGTTATTTTTTTTCCAATGATATGCTAAATGATTTCAATTTATAAAATTTATGATCCTCGAGATTAATAATAGTTAAATTGATTTGCTACCTTGTGTATATTTTAAGTAAAAAGTCAAACATTTAATTCATGTGACTGCGCAAATTTATTCCTCAATTTATCTCACTTGACGAGATTCCTCCCCCCTTTCTCCGTTATAATTCCTTTCCTCCTTGGCAAAAAGAAAAACTTTTTCGTGGACGTCAAAAGTTTGATCGGAAGAAGCAGGTGCCTCTTTTTTTCTCTCTCCCACTCATTATCAGAAATCCACTATAAATAATCGAGCGAGCTCGCAATTAAATCTGACAGTGCAAACCAACGCAGCGTTTTCATTTTTTTTTCTCGCAAATCGTTATAAAAATGCTGGCAGACTTTTAATTAATCATCGCTCTGGGCTCGACGGACCGCCTCACTGCTTTTTATTCCTCTTAATTACCGGCACAGCAATTAATAATTCGCTGCACACACACAAAATTTCCGTAGGCACCGGTCTCGGAAAATCAGTCACTCTCACTGGCGCGAAGAGTGGAGCGCGCAATCTTGCGGTTATATTCGAATGTAAAAAAAAACTCGGTGAGCAGCCCGAGGCGGCGGTCTGGGGGTGTTTTCTAATTAATAGCCTCGCAGAGATTATACACACGACGGCCATTATACTGCTTTTTAAGTCGCGCGCGTTTTGCATTATTTTGGCCGGGGAAGAGCATTTATCACCAGCGGCGGCACCGGCTAAATTGTACGCGCATATTTTGCGTGATTTATGCGACGTTTTCCGGAAAAGAGGAGCGCACATCCAACACCGCACGCACACTCTGACGAGACGAGTAGTTCTATAAATTTAATTTCCTAAATCGAAAAAGCCTCCCCGACTTTGGAGCATTTTTGTGTGCTTTTATTTTAAATTGTCATTAAAGTATTGAAAATAAATATCAAATGAAAATATTCAGAAAAAGTTGATACAATTTTAAGAAGAAGAATTTAATTGCTTAAAATTTCCACTCATTTCTTGGGGCCCAAGGCTTTGAAATAATGATTTCGAGATATAAGCATTAAAAAGTTTTGAAAATTAATTAATATCAAAAAGAAGTTTTTGCAATAAATTTGAAGTTTTCCTGCGCCAACAAAAATGCTTAATTGATGAAAATATAATTTACCCAATTACTTTTTCATATAATCTCCATGCAAAAAAAATCAATTTTTGAGAATTTCTTGACAAAACGGCAATGAATTTTGCTTAATGGAATGAATTTTTGCAATTTTTTAACCTAGAATCTAGAATAGATCTATGGAATGAAGAACCTAGCTTTTTCTTCACATCGAAAAACGGTAAAAAGATCAATTCTTCACGCTCTCCCTTCGATTCGATGCTTTTCTCTCTCGCACTTTGCTAATTGCAAAAACGAATAGTTGGCGTTGAAGACGAACGTTTGAACATTAGGAAGATAAAATGGCGATAATCAATGAGCTATATAAAAGATAGAATGAGCCCTTGTCTCCATTTTTCCAATAGAGGACAAAAGAAATGGAAAAATAGATAAAAAAAAAATTAGAACTTGACTTATAGTGGCCATAGTGGAGATATCATTCACCAGTCAGACAAAACGCAATCAAAGATAGAGTTTTAGAAGTATAAAAAAACACGATAATATATAATATTGTTTCCGAAACTAGAAACAGTAGAAACTTAACGCCCAATTAATTGTGATAATAATCTCATCTCAATTAGAATAAGGAAAATCCATAATCACGTTGTATATGAATATAAAAATATAAAATCAACTAAATAAATAATCTCGGGAATTCGGGCATAAATTTAAAAAAAAAAATCAGAATTTTTCGGCATCGAATTTGGCAAACATTGTCATGAGTCTGTTAATCTGAATTTTGTGAAATCGTAGAATGTTTTTGAGAGAGAAAGACGAAAGTTGAAATCATTTTTTTTTTGCCTAAAATAAATTAAAAATTTGATTGAAAAGGCAAAAAAAATTAAATCATAGAAAAGTGGCAATTTTAAAATGAAAAAAAAACACACTACCAGAAAAAAATTAAAATAAATTCCAGAATTCTGATCTTCTGATCTTGGCTGGTGGATAAATTAAAAAAAAAATAAAAAAAATTGATAATAATAGATTTTCTGTACTTACAAAAAATTGTGTAATTCTAATATTCAAATCCCATCACGATCACGGACGAATCTTTTGCGCTTACCTGGAACAGAGAACAGAACAGGAGATTAAATATTTTTTCTTTTTACAGAGATGTAATACATTTTTCTTTTCCCTATCGAGTCCGCATTTACGTAGCAGCCGATGTACTCTCTCCGGAAAAAAGGCAATCTCGCAAATTGCTCAACTAAAAGGGTCATGCCCGCGGTCAAGGCAAAGGAGTCCCGCCGCGTCAGAGTTCTCATTTATATTGAATGCGAGCGCAGCAAGTGGTGCGCGCCAGTGTGGTCCCATAATAAATATCAAGCCGGCGAGAATAAAAGTGCATATGGACACAAACCAATAAATGCAATCTGCCGGCCGCGTGTATTGGAATATCCATCACTGGCCGGGGCAATTTTGCTTCCATTGACCCCGTCCCGCAGAGATGGAACGAGGAACACACACAAAACTTTCTTTTGCGCCGAGGGAGGGAGTAAAAAAAAAAGAGTGCGGAGCGTGAGAAGAATAAAATCAAGAACCACCAACTGTGGAGTCCATCAGAAATTTCCCAAAAGATAATCCAAATTGGCAAAAGAAGTAGCTGAGTGGACACTACAATTATAAACAACAATAATGAATTAATTTAAATCAGCATTAATGACTGATTCAAGAATGAAAAGTAGTAAAAAAACAAACAAATATAATATAAGTGAATTTTTAATTGAAATTGAAATATGCATTAAATAAGTTTTAAAATTAAGACTTTAAATATATTTTTTGGTTTTGTTTAACTTTATTTTTTTAAAGTTGTACATTTCGAACGATTTTATTTTAATGCATTTTATTGTAATTAATTTATTATATTTTTTTAACGTGGTTTCGGTTGGAAAACATTCTAGAGCACGAAACTAAAATAATAAAAAATAGTATAAATAGAAGGTTCAAAAATTGAAAAAATAACGTGAAAAGAAAAGATGGAAAAATTATCTTATTTAGGACAAATATTGTTATATAAAATTACGTCTAATATCAATTAATCATTTAAAACTTAAAATGGCATTTTTTCAATAATATACTTTTTACTGCTTAGCAATTAAAAAAACTTGACTGTCTGATAAGATTATTTTTTAAACATTATTAAATAAAAACAATTTCATGAATGAAATTTTATAAAAAAAAATGTCATAATTTATTATTGTCGGCCAGAACGACACCACTATATTTCTCACAGAAATAATAATGTAAGCAATCAATTTGATCTACTTATCAAATAAAATTGTTGAAAGTTATTTTTACCAAAAAGTTGCTCCAATTATATTTTTTTCCTCGATTTCCGACGCAATTTTGAACTGCCACTCTGAAATAAATGAGAATAATGAGATTTAGCAATAAAAACGTGTAAGATAGTTGAGCAGAAGAGCGTAAAACCAACACCCCGCGTCCAACGACTGACAGCCGAGTGATCGCGTCGATATTGCAAAACGCCGC